TATTAGGTTAAACGCTATAGACTCAGATGACGGCCAATCTATGAAAGTAAATGTAGATCCTAAAGAACAAAAATTACAAAAGTATTTGACTGAACTAACCAACAAAATTGTAGACTTAAAGTCACAAGACAATGACGACTCTAGGACTATAACGATAACTGACACATCCGCTACTATGTCCGTTGACGAATTCGAAAATGAACCTAGATACCCAATCCCACCTTTATCCTCTGACAGTAGCACCGTGACAGTACATTCTGGACAAGACTTAGAATCTAACGGTATTCCCATATTAAAAGAAGCCATTGACACAAAGCCTAACCAAATATTAGTATTTACATGGAATAAAAATGAACTACAAGTAAGAAATTTATCCAGAGATAAACAAAAAGTACTTGAAGTTTTCGCCCCTTTAAACAACGAAATTTTAATTAAAAACTTTTTAAAAGAATATATTAAACCCAAATGTAAATATTTCATTTATTTCGAGAACGTCCAACATAGAGCCGAATTTTCTAGAATAATTATTCAGTTATTTAAAAAGGGAATGGTAGAGTTTTTTGAATGTACAGAGCGTGTCATATATGTGGAAGACGATAAAGAACAGAAGGAAATTATATTACAACATCATGAAGGAAAGACATGTCATAGAGGAATAAAAGAAACAATGAGCAGAATTAGACGTAATTATTATTGGCAGAACATGCAAGAAACTATCGCCGCAGTGATTAATATTTGTGATTGTTGTAGAAAGATGAAGTATGACAGGAAACCTATAAAACCGCTACTCCAACTAACGCAAACCCAAAATGCCCCTTTTCAGGAAATTTTTATGGATGTATTTTCAATTGAATCTATTTATTACCTCACCTTAGTTGACGCATTTAGCAAATTAGGTCAAGCCATAGAAATTACAAATAGATCAGCCCCGGAAATCGTAAGAGCGTTAATTAAATATTTCTCTATATATGGAACACCTAAGAGAATCACATCCGACCCGGGTAGTGAATTTAATAATGACCTTCTAAAAGAACTTTTAGCTATGTACAACATACAATTACACATTAGCACTCCTAATAACCCCAATTCCACAGGAATAATTGAAAGGTTCCACTCTACAATTATAGAGATATATAGGTTGGCAAAATACGAACGGAAGTGTACAGATGCAGCAACTGTAATGTCTTACTCCATCATGGCTTATAATCACACTATACACACTGCAACCGGTCTGACTCCTTTCGAAGTAGTTTTTGGTCATACCGATTCAAATTCAACATTTACAGCGAATTTTGAAAAGAATTATACACAACAGTTAATTAAAGATCACGCCAAACGCATTAGATATTTATATGACTACATATCAGATAAAATGTTACAACATAAGAAAAAAATTAGAGAACAAAAGGGCGGAGAGTCAGATAAAAGTTTTAAAATAGGTGATATCATATACGCGAAAGAATGTAATACTAGAAAAAGTAAGGATAAGCCGCGATATAGAAAAGCCGTTGTCATTGGTAAAATAGAACGAAACATAGTCCCAGTTAGAATTGGTAGTAGGAATACCACAGTACCGATTAAAAATATTAAACGCCCTCCACAGGTGGTGTCCGATGATGATTCTGATGATAGACCGACAAACACGGGCCCTTCAACTTCAAAAACTTGAAAGGAACCCTGGGATCCTGCCCGTCAAGCAAGGTCATGCTTCCATGCAAACAGACAAGTGGCTTATAATTAAAACATTTGATTTAAAACATTTAGAAACAGACTTAGAATTTTGTGTAACGAAATACAAAGAGTTTACGTCATTGATTGATATTAATAAACCTTATATTTACGAATTTCTCGGTATCCGTACACAAGTAGGGTATCTAAAGGATGCAACTATTGAAAAATTTCGGCAAATAGTACCTTCAAAAAGATTCAAAAGAGGCATTATTAACCCTCTCGGTTCTATGATAAAAATTATTACCGGAAATTTAGACCATGATGATGCAATCCGATATGACTCTTTGATTTCTAAATTGCAAGATAATCAGTTAGTGACAGAAACGAAATTTACATTAGTCTCAAAAGTTGTGAATAATGTAATAAATGGTACAGAAACCTTACATAACAATACATTAATATTAGATGAACGGTTAAAGAGAATTGAAAGAATTGTTAAAAATATGGTCACTAAAGAGGAAAATTCAATTTATTCAACTTATATATTAGGAATGTTCAATATGTTTTCCCATAACTTTAGAACTATCAATTTAATACTCGGAGAAATTGAAACTGCACTAGCATTTAGTAAGGTCTCTGTCCTGCATCAATCAATTGTCAACTCTACAGAACTGTTAAAATTATTATACGAAATTGCGGAAACTGAAAATTTGTTATACACTGTAAATGAAAAGAACTTAGTTAAGTTGGAAAATTGTATCAAAGTTAAAGCTTTTGTCAAAGTAAACCAGATCACGTTTATACTCGAGGTCCCTTTAGTGGATAATAAGATTTATAATTATTTCAAAATTTATTCCTTGCCTGTTCACGTTAGAAACCAAACTGTAATCGTTATCCCAAAATACCCATTCCTCCTGGTGAAAGATAAGGAGTACTTACCAGTCCTAAGAGCCTGTAAGCAGATTGCAGAAGATGACCGTTACCTTTGTTATAACGACGACGTGCTACCCCATACGGAACAAAGCTGCGTCGAACAACTCATGGAGTTTCAACAAAATCCTGATGCATGTGAACAACATGCTATTGAAATCGAAAACATCAAAACCCAACGTATAAGCCTTGGAAGCTGGATACTTTATGTGAAAAATCACACTCTACTTAATAGAAAATGCGGCAATGACGCCACTCACGAGTCTTTACATGGTACTTACATTATCACCATGAATGATGCTTGTGAAACCGAGATCGGAAAAATCCATTTCAAGTACCACCAATCTTCGGCGGAAAATCTAAATTATCGGCTTTATCCAATAACCAACTTACCAGAATTGAAAGTTATAAAGCCTATCAGTGTCAATGGAGCGAGCCTAAAAGGTATAAGTTTAGATGAAACAAAACAGTTGAACCAATTAGTGAAACTCAAAAAGGTCAATTTCAGTGAAAGTGCCGGTGCTATTAACGTTAAAAGTGTTAGTTTAGGAACTATATTATTGTATGCTATTATGTTAACTATTTTCTGTATTTTTGTCGTAGTTAAGTATTTTAAAAATAAATTGTGTGTTTTTGGGCGAAATAATCGAATTCCTGAAAATGCCGATAATTTCGCTCTTGGGGAGGGAGGAGTTATGAATTCGACCCCACACAGAGTCATAGAAGTACGCGCATAGTAACGCTTGCTGACTTTGCACTCTATGTGTGGCCCATGTCTAGACACTGCCATAAGCAATAGATAATGTAAGTCTGCAACAGGACGAATTAGAATAAGTCATTCATTCTGAAAGTACATGAGCTTCTGTACAGACATCTCTTAGTTTTATTTTTAGTTTTTAAAAAGCTCTTCACGGCTCCCTATAACTTGACTACGCTGACGTTTCGAACGCCTTGCAACGCAATTCAAGCCCTAGGGCACTACGTAGACAATCTAAAATGATTTGATCTAAAAGCACCTGTCCGAGCTCTTTGTGCAGCTTAATTAAACGGACGGTAGTTATTAATGATGCCCTGTTTATGATTTCTTGATTTGTTTATTGTTAATATCGTTGGTCGGCCGTTGCGACTAGTTGGTGGTTCCCGAGTCGTTCGATCAATTTGTCACAGTTTCTGGCCATCCTATCAGTGCAGACTGTCGTTGAATTATTACTGATAGGAACATATAAGTAGTTATAAATATTAATCAAAACTGTCGTGACTCAGCTATTAAGTTGTTGTCAAAATGCTTTCTCTAGGACGCTATATTTGCTACAATATGTTTCGTATTTTTTGTGTCAATAAACCTAGTTCTGAACAGTCCGAACATAGATGAGAACTGTTTTTATTTAGCATCTTCAACGTCGATATATTATAATAACAATTGAACGGCGTAAATTACTTCAGTCTTGTACTCGTAGCTCTGGCAGTAGATTGCGAGGTCGTGACGTAATGATGCAACGCCTCCGTGACTTATTTCAACGATATTTACTCGGACAATCGTCGACCAAATTGGACAGCCACATTTTATCACTCAAAGCATTCTAGTACAGGTAAGGAGGGTTGTTATTCAATGCGTGTTTCTTTTAAAATAAGTTCTCAGATTATTTGGAGGATTGTAGAGTTCCTCGTCTGAACTAGTTTTCATCCGAGTTATACTCACCTACTTCGGTTTGTTGCTTTTATTTTCCTTATTTTGACGACTTTATTTAATATTTGTAGACGGAGTTTCATAATAAAATCCAATAATTACATTTGCTCCTACGCAAAAACCTTAAAGTTGCAATTTGATTACTGGATACTTTTTTATTTAGGCGTATTCCAATTGAACCATCTGTTTTATGTTCGATCTCCTTGTCGAGTGATAAAGATAGATATTAGATTAGTATGATGGGATTCAACAACAAATTATATATATACAATCGGAATTTCGGAAACGGCTCCAGCAATTTTCATGAAATTTAGTATGTGCGTAGCTTCGTGGGCGAAAAATTGATCTAGTTAGGTTTCATTTTCACAAAATGTCCATTTATCCCTGTTTTCAGGGAATGAAAAATATTATTCGAATATGACGGTAAATTTCGCCGCAAAAGAAAATGTTATAATAGCTCGGTCGGTAATCGGGTGGGCGAAACAGAAGGCGGCGGTTCGTATCACGATCATTTACACAATTATTTTTTTTGTTTCCAATATCATGATTTACAAAAAAAAAACCGAGCAAAGCTCGGTCCTCCAGGTACTTTATATTTACGAACTCATGCCTCCCATCGATCTTCTGTTAGCAAGTAAATCCAGTGAGCCGTGCATAGTGACGTTGCGGTGGCGCGTCGGCCGAACAAAACGACGTGAAATAATAATAAACAATGCGGGGCCGACGACCGGCGGTTGTGGGAAAGTCGCCGCTGCCGGGTGACCACGCGGCCGCCAATGTAGAGACAGGGCGTTTCACGAGGAATTTATTGGTATGATAGCGGGTGCGCGATCGATTGCACTGAAGCTGATACTTTACCGAATTTAGTTATTCAGTGACTAAGTTCGAGGCGATAAAAGTCATTCATAATAAATCAAGCTCTTCTAACGCGTTTCCCGGCGTATTAGGAAAACAAAGATAGAAGTAATAGCAAAGAGAAAACGCGTTTGACTCAATATTACGTGCTAAGAGCCGTTTGCTATCGTGCCTCAAAATGGAATGACCATCACAATCAACATCCAGAATCGTCGAATGTTTTTGACCGCCAGGAAATACTAGCGGACACTCGACAAATGACAACGAAAGTGGTTTTGAAGTTAGAGTTACATCAGATAAATTGGACATTTCATTAATTCCGTATAAAATGTCAGCAAAGGTCATGGAGTGCTCAAGAAGACACAGATCGTTGAGAGATCTTGGCCACCGCAGTCGATGCGAGCTGAAAGCTTTTTGCCGCTCATTGAAGCCACCGAGAGCCGCCTCTGGGAGCGGCCGAGAGGAGCCGGCGGCGCGCGTGTTCGATCGAGCGGAGACGACGCAGCCACCGGGCCAGATGCGTTCATATGTTATCGTCAAACAGTGTGAAGTAAGCAAGAGCGTACTCAATGCACACTGGATGACTTACAAGTTATACAAGATGATACATTGTTCATTTATTTAAAAGATCAGTATGCCCGTAGCCTACAAGAAGTATCTAATAGTACAGAATATAAGTACACATTCAAATGATAATTCCTCACTCCGTTTAATGATTGAATTACATTGTAGATAACTAATTTAGTAAGGAATGTTATGATTTTTCCATTTTTCAAAACACCAGTTTTTGTAAAAGCAATAAGCCATATCGTTTGCTTCGTGGCTAAAATCTTTAGGGGTCCCTGAAGAGTCAAGAACCCCGCTGGTTCTTGTATAGAGATAGTAATTATAGCTTACTTTAATTTATTTTAACGAAAACTAAAACGGTATATCTTTGTTACAGGTAAGTTCTTTAAAATAACGAGAAGAAGATTGAGGAAGGTTCTTTTAGGTATCATTTAAGATTGAAGAATAAATTCAAGGGGTAAGTGTTTCGCAACATTTTAAGCAATGTTAATTTTAAAATTTAGATGAATGAGTGTTTGAAGATTTTGGCTCAAACTCAGACATACGTGTCGGAGTGCGAGTACATACATTACAGTACACAGAAAACATCGACTTCATTCTCCTACTTAATTAACTCACATTTTGAACTTGGTGGCGCAAGTGCAAGGCTTCAGCGCAGATGATCGTGGGTTCGATTCCCACATTGGACGAGTATTTGTGCGACCTGCAGACAATTGTTCCCGACCTGGGTGTTGGGTTCCGAGGAGGTTTGGCGTCAGGCTGGTTGTAAAAACCTAATAACTCTCACGACATGATTAATATGTGGCGAACAGACCTAGACAGAGGGCAGAAGAAAGAATATTGCATTACACATATGCATGAGTCTGTAAAGGGTGCTACACAAAAGAAAAACTTCTAATTAGCAACTTGCTTCATTGTTCCAATGAAAATTAATATTTCCTAAAGCGCATGTAATAGATCTGATTTAATATAGCTTACGATAGTGACAAACAAAGGAGTGCAAGTGTGAAATTCTTTGGCAACGTATTGTCTCGTGGTTGAGGAAAAAGCGCTTATTACAGTTGCACCTATCGTTGCTATATACAACTATCGTTGCCAACGTTGTTAGCTTCTAGCCTAAGAGGGGCGTCACTTTACCGCTGACTGTATTGCCATTTGGATATGCAATCGTAACAGCATAATACAGATCTTAAAAAGGAATTTACTTTATTATTTGAAAAATAACAGTTTTCATTCATATGCTGGTTAAACGCCTAAATACATAGATATTTTTCCGTTGAAATTTGATTACTAGTTGGGTTTTAATATAAATTTTTCAGGACTTCTTTTAAAAAAAATTAGATTATCGCAAGAAAATATATTTAAATGTATGCCTCAAAAACTAACTATTTAAGTATGTACTGCTCGGTCTGAAGGTGAAAGATTTTCTTCATTAAAAAGGTCACAATTATTTGTAGTTAAAGTTTGAACGCGTTGATGTACTTTTGTACTACAATTTAGTTTTCGTTTTGTTAAGGTATATCTTTAATCTTGTCAATTCATATATAACGTAATAGATAGAACATAATGTGACACTTCAATGGACGATTCATGGTAGGAATGGTGAGCGAAATACGAGAGCTGTTTGATAGAAAAAAGAATAAAAACGCGAAATTGATACACGCGACAAAAAATTGGAGCTGTCATTAATACCAGTAAGAACGATTAAGGGTGCGTACACAAACAAGAAGTTAGGCGATTTTTAATATTTTTTTAAATATTATTTTATGTGTTGTTGTGGTGTTTTGCAAACAAAAATTGTACAAGGAAAATCTCCAGCTCGGGGGAAAGCCAGGGTGGGAATCTGACTCAAGTCTAGGGGAATGAAAATCGCTCATCAACTGCACCAACTGGCCAGCTTTTATTCACACAGAACATTGAAGAATAATATTAAATTTATTTCTTATTTGTATACATCTAGTACATTTGCTTCTTTTTCACAAAACCACAGGGTTTATTCCAATATAACAATACATCGTGCGATTCGAGAATTCCGAAGAAGCGGAAAATTCATAAGCACATCACGTAGTCAACACGGATCGGAATCGCTTAAAATTGTTAGTATTTTGTTTAGGTTTTTCGTTGACAAAAAGAAATTTTAAACGCCCGCCACCGCTTGTGAATATACGCGCAATCTTCAGTACGGTCGTGGACAAACGCGCTGGATGCTGTCGTCTGGAGTTACACCGATATGCCGTGACGTCACGGGCGATCTCGGCGTCGCGTTTCACGGCGGCAGTCGGCTGATGGCTGCCGTTTGACAGCTGTCACTCGACCCCAAGAATGCCCAGGCTGTCGATGCTGTCATTAGATACTTTGGAATTATTCCCAGCTTCATTCTGTTGTTTGGCTGCCCGTTGATAATGAGAGGCAATAATTAACTTGTAGTTGCTGACTATTAAGCCTTGCACAGCGTCGTAGTTGATGTGTAATATAGATTGTTCATGATTTTGTTGATGTCAGAAAAATGTCACAAACATTTCTCTACACTTTGGTTTAATATGTGGGTATTCCTCAGACAGTTGTAGCCCGGACGTCAGAATCTCGGGGTCAAGAAGGATTTGATTTTTATTGAACAGATCTGTTTTAGTTTGTTCTCATTTTTTTCAAACACATATTGGTACATCAGTCATGTATATTTAAATCTCAAAGCATGATTATCTGAAAGACGGAATACATGGAAAAATCATAAATTCCAATTTACGTGATTGAATTAAGTAAAAAAGGTACGCTAGAATGAACTGGAATAATTCCTAACCGTGTACGGCGCGGCCTCGTTGCTTTCCTTAGGCGAAGGCGTTTTTGTGTAATACCGAGCTGCGTCCATACCGGTAATTAAATGTCCATTTCCCGTCTGAGAAATGGAGGGAAATCGCGCGCGTATTCCCGACCAATGTTAGCTGGTGGCCTGCCGCTGGACGTGACGCGTGTTTGTCGCTCGCGTGACACGTGGAGCGTGTTTATCGCTCGCGTGACACGCAGAGCGATTTGTTCGGCGTAAGCGTGACCATAGCACGTCATCGATTCATAGATTCACGCACAAAGTCCGGATTGTTTGTGGAAAATAATAAAAAATCACACGAGTTAATGTTAAGAAGGTAATCAATTAAGGTGAATTGAATGAGACATTCAAATATGCAAGACTATAAACAACATCGTCAAAGAGTACCTAAATTTTAAGACCGTGATCTATGGAGGAGAATGGAAAATAATAAATAACGATAATAAATACAAGTGTTATCTCGAACATTGTAATACAAAATAATTGTTGCTAAAATATTAAGCAAATGATTCTCGTAAAATTTGCGTCGACGACGGACGCGACGGACCGCGCCCCTCGCCAAGTTACTCGTAGTTTCGTAAACGTCGTCAAACATTTGCTGAACTTTGTACGAGCAAATTAGCTACGCAGTGTTATTCTGTAAATAACTTGACCATATTTCGTCAGTGAATTTTGTGTAGAGTTTACTTATATTTAAGAAAACACATTACGTTAAGGCATTTATTCAAGGAAAACGTGTACATACTCGTACATGTGTTTTGTCTTCTTCTTTGATTAATGGTCTCTCTAAATCGTTTTTTTGTAAGTGAACGTGTTGAAACGTTGTCAAAAAGGGGCCGATAGCGTTGTAGGTATTTTGTTTATTGTGTCTCAGTTTTGGCAAAGCTCCCATTTAATCCAAATTCTCTTGGCTGATGGCTTTATGGTATTAGTACTCACCTCGCAAACGGCCATTACACACGTAAAATTATTTTGTGTAAAACGTCCTTACAACATACATTAATGTTATCGTATAGTAAGGGCAATGTTTTCTAAAAATAACAAAACGAAAAAAAAAATAACACGTTACGGTACTTGTATTTTTTTTTATTGATTTTTCGAATCCCACACGGGATAAAATTCGTATGATAAACAATAAGTTGTTACGGATGATACCGTTAAGTTATATTTTACTTCGAATATTAAATTGATTAATAATTCAAATTTGAACGATTTTTGATAACTCACAATTAGTTAACATAGTTGCATTGTCCTGAATTGAATTGTCCGGCGGTTGCGCATGACTGTACCGACGAACGTAGTTGCGGTCGCCGTACAATGGAGTGACCTTTCCGTTCGAGTGTGCGAGCGGTTACGCTGTGCGCGCGGTAACTAGAGTCGTCCGCGCGATTACGCTCGCGACCATGGTACAGTCGCGCACAAGCGGCGCTTGAAGGAAATGAGATTAGAAAAATTGCGAAAAATCTCTACGATCCAATTGATATGAACGGTTTATGTTATATTATGTAATACACGTATTAGTCTAGTTTAGCACGCAAGTCGCGTTATGTACATTTTTAATATAATTTAGATGGCAAACAATGAAAGTAACAAACTAAACCTTTTTTTTTAATGTGAAAATTCGTCAAACGAGCAGACGGTTCACCTGATGGTAAGTGAATACCGCCGCCCATGGACATCTGTTACACCCTGGGGTTATAGATGCGTTGACAACCTTTTGAAAATTGTGCTCCGGCTACCTCACTCACCAGACAAAACGCGAAAGTATTTGTCATACTTCCACTTTACGCCGGTCTTCTGTGAGGTCGTGGTACTTACCCGGACGGGCCTGCCCATTCGTGCAACAGTCGAGGCTACTGCGTGGCCCTACCACCGTTAAATTTTTTTCACCTTTCGCTCTGTGAGCAAAACTGACTTAAATTTTCAATATCCTCTCTTTATTCTTATTATTAATTGTAACCAATCGAATATAGATTTTTTTAATACAATTGGCTCCTAACTTAGAAGGTTCAGACATTGATATAGAACATGGTACTTGCCGCATATTGAATAAAAACTGAACCGTTATCTTACCTTTAGCTCAGTAGCTAGAGCGTCTGAACGCGTCATCCGGAAGGTGCAGGTTTTGAACCCTGGGTTTATTTATACGTTTTCAAGTGCAAAGGCTAGTACTAAAATTTAAAATAAATTATCTCCCCTTAATCTTAAGTTTAGTCTACACATTTTTAATTAAGTAATATTCATCAGACAACACCTCGAGCAGCTTTTACTTAGCCAACAGTTTAAGCTTTGTTGCTAATGTATGTAGAGACTGGTTGACATTGTATCAAAACTCTACATCTTCTTATTAAATCTCGACTGGAATTAGACCACCTTTAAGTGGTGCTGCCAAATTTAACTCTTCTTAAAGAACACATCTAGAACTTCTTTCGAAAAACCCAATTCAAAATCAAGTGAACCAACTCGAAAAATTTAGAAACCGACGCTGACTTTGTCAACTTAATAGCAAATATATATAGCGAACACTTTTCGACGCGATTAGCCAGGTGGGGCCATGTACAGTAGAAGGGCCGTCCCTTTCGCCTGCACGCCTGCATTCTAGACCGTTCGCCTGTTGCGTTACCAGAACTGTTCGAGCCACCGCGGCGGATCAATTATTTTAACTAACTTACCGGAAGCTTCGTAACGTTTCCAGCTCAGAACTAAACTTTAACGTAATCTACTGCATTTACTTTAATGAAAATTATCCCAGAACCTCTCAGAACCCGGGCCAGGCTTACACGTAAAGTTATCTAACATAGTCTTCCTGAGAGTTTTAAAGTGAAATGGATACAAAAAGCGGATCTTATATTTTGACTTCTAACATTTAAGCATTATTATTATTCTGTGGATTCTCTACTGGAAAATGTTCTCTACTTCTTTCTGTACTAAATGTGTGTAATAAAACATTAACTTAAAACATTAACTACCTTTTCATAAAAATATATCGCTCACATCCTGATATCTTATGTCCCACTCCACGAAGCGTGCAATATACTTTGGACTCCTAAAAATAACCGGCCAAGTGCGAGTCGGTATAGCGCACGAAGGGTTCCGTGCCATTATCTATAAAAACGCCAATCATGTCTGTTCTATGATAGCCCCACTTAAATATTTTTAATAGGCAACAAAAATTCATCATCTGTGAAAATTTCAACTGTATAACCATCACGGTTCACGCGATACGGCCTGGTGACAGACGGACAGACAAAAAGCAAAAGCGTAGTCTTAGTAATAGGGTCCCGTTTTACTCTTTGGATACAGAACTCTAAAAAATGATGATATGTTTGCATTGATGAGTTCAATGTCAATCGACGGCCATCCAACTACATTGATGTACGAAACGAGAGTGTTTCGCAAATGTTTCCGATTTGTTGCGGAACAGCGATGTTGGACGGTATCGCAAGCCACCTCCGTTGCGGCAACGCGTTCGTTACGCCAAACCGATTGAAGAAATATGATATATTGGATACAAGCACTCAGGTATTACTGCACTTACGGGGTAAATTTAGTTATTGATCTATTTATATGTGAATATCTTAAATGCTAAGTGTACATATCTGCATTTGAATAGATATAAATATTTCATTTGGATTAATTTAATCTGCTACAAGGTATCGAACTGTAAGGATGGCGCTCTGTGGGTCCTTTTTAAAAAAAACACTTTTTATTGGCTGTAAGGAACTTTTTAATTCTGACACACAACTACGTTATAAAAATGATTGTTATCGGACCGAGTACAGAGTTTGACTGCTTGATGTTGACTGCCGTACTTAGGCATCGAAACTGTTTTTATATAATTCTAAATTGCTGACCTACGCAAATACTCAATATTGTAAATTGTACATAACAGAACGCTACAGTTTCTTCGTAAACCTGAATCAATACTGAAAAAAACATATAAAAATTATTCAGTGTACCATTATTATAAAACGAAGAAATAATATTAATGTCCATTACAGATTTACATTTTACGAAAATAATGATGAATAAGATTATTTACAATTACTTTTGGGAAGCTTCCCAAGAAGCTTTATCCGTGCCAGGCACTTTGATTCGAATCTGTGTGGATAGACAGGAGATCGTCCTTGCCACCGTGTCCTATATTCTAAACTGTAATCAAAACAGTGACAAGTGTCAACTACAAATACTATATCGGACAATGTTTGTTTGAAATATTTGATTATTTTTCTTTCTTTTATAAAACTTCCAAAACTCTTGACTTTGATTTACACTCTGTGATAAACGCAATTCCGGCAGTGGCGAAGAAAGCTTACATTGCAAATTTTTTTACGGTTTATATCTTGTCAAACGTAATTGAAGAGTGAGTAGTCAATTTACTTTACTGCTTTCAGTATAAAAGAATATATTTTGAAATGATCTTAAATTAATTAATATTTTACATTACGCAAATTTGCCAATACGCATTTTTTTTAG